AAGTCCCAATCACTCACTCACTCACACACACACGTCACGCACACCCCACACTCTCTCACACTCAAACATAAGTCATGAACACACACATACGCTCTCACACACTCTCACACCAGTCGTAAACACATACGCTCTCTCACACCAGTAGAAAAAAAAATACAGTATATTAATATTAATATTAATTCACCTTCTAGTGTGTGGTCTGGTCAACATACTTCAGCCACGTTATTGTGACTCATCGCCTGCATACAGTATATTAATTACATAATGAGACACAATAACAGAATAGCAATTAGTAGACATTATCATTACCAGAAACGTAATTGATAACAACTTATACAAATCATTTTAATACTTACTGGGCTAAGCAGGTGCACAGCAATATAAATCAGAAATTATAACTTAGGCATAAAGTGAGTGACATTCAGCCAAGAATTTAAGAGATAGTATATTATAAAGACAATATATATATATCACACAATTAGGAGCACTCATACTAAGGTCCTTCACTCAGCTGTGAAGACAACTGACTCGATTATGTGTCAAGATCTTCAACGCGTTATCAAGGTCATGATAACGATGACTATGAAGCAAGAGAGTAATAAAAGGTTAAAAATAACATCGAGCGTCAGAACTGTCAAGAAACTTATCTGTCAAGAATATATATATACATATATATATATATATATATATATATATATATATATATATATATATATATATATATATATATATAATATATATATATATATAGATCTATATATATATATAGATAATATATATATATATATATATATATATATATATATATATATATATATATATATATATATATATATATATATATTGATAAAATAACATCAATAACCGACCCAACATTGATATCTAAAGCCTTATATCAACGACCGAACCACTGTCTAGGTGTTCCTGATGGTGTTCCAACATTGGTTATCTTCTTGGGTTGCTTGAAGATATCCAACGTAGCAACACCAGCAGGCATAATATAAATATCGTCAGCACTCCCAGCTAGCCAATGCAGTTTCAGTTAATATAATTTCCACTTGATACCTTTAATCACAGTTCGCGTTCAACCTGTCAGGAAATGTTATGTGAGCGCATCAATACTTAAATATTACGACAGAGACGTGATGCACACATTCATATTTCTGTTCAGGTTTGACGGTAATATATATATATTAAAATAATTTTAATCGCGGGTTGGATATGTGAGCATATTTGAAGTTCATTATGCATATGTGTGTGTGTGTGTGTGTGTGTTTGTGTACTCACCTATTTGTGCTTGTGGGGGGTTGAGCTCTGGCTCTTTGGTCCCGCCTCTCAAATGTAAATCAACTGGTGTTCAGGTTCCTGAGTCTATTGGGCTCAGACATGTGTGTGTGTGTGTGTGTGTGTTCTTATTTACCACTACTTATCTATCTGTTCTGTCAGGAAGAAAAGTGCTGATAAGTGTGCGTTTGTGCGCACCTAACTGTGCTTGTCAGGGTTGGCCTTAAGCTTTTGGGTGCTTCTCCACTCGGTGTTTATTCGACAGGTGTACAGGTTCGTAGGCCCAACAGGCTCTAGACATATTTGAAGCTGTGTGTGTGTGTGTGTGTGTGTGTGTGTGGTCTGCCGCCGCTGCTTCCCTTCTTAACACATTCCATTTATTCCCTACTTTGAAGCAACAAAAAAAACGTGGATGTTTTTCTTCTATTCAGGTACGTAGTTCCCTCTTGTCGCTATTTCCTACGCGCGAAAGAGTGCTTCCATGGAAATCCCTTACGAACCTCTACGTTGGCTTTCTGAAAACGGGAGGTGTGGTGATAAGGGAGAGGAGAAGGAAGCCGTAATCAAGGGAGGGCAGGGAGGGAAGAACTGGGAAAGAAGGGTGGTAATAAGGGAGGGAAAGAAGTTGTTATCAAGGGAGGGAGGGAAAACTAGGTTGGAAAAGGTAGAAAAGTTCAACGCTCAATGCTCGTTTTCTGTTAGATTTTTGTTTTAATGGGATGAGAGGGGGTCCTCGCGCAGACTTCATAATGGTCTCTGTGTTTTATAGACCGGTAAATGAAGAGAGGAGGTAGGGGAAGGGACATTATTTTATGCTTGCTGGATGTTGCCGGAGCCCAGCTAACGACCGCTGGATTGTGCTTATTTAATGAGCGTTGATATTTAATGAACAATATGAACGTTGACCAAAGTGCACTGTTTCTTTTTTGTAGTCCTTTAGGCATGAATCCAGTTGATTTTTATACTGTAAATACTGTATATTAGAAAAATATAAATTATGGCATCACAATTGCATGAAAACGTTTATTGAAAAACTTTATTTCATTCATTTATTGACAAATTATATATTATTAGTATTATTGTTAGTAACTTCGCATGTCCTTAACTCTTTGTCGATAAATTAATACAATTTTCTGATGCATATTTTGACTTATAAGTACACTTAAATATTCATTGTGCACAAACATAGACACTTTTGGTGTGAAGCCTAGTGAACACAACACTATAATGACTTACAACCTAAAACACTTAATTGGTTGGTTACACCAATGGTTTCTGTTGAAACATGACGGTGTCATCCAGGAGGTGGTTACTAGTTATTTGTTAATGGTTTCTGGACAATTCTTTTAACCATGTCGTAGCTCAGTCGATTGAGGCAGCGTCTGGGATCCTCTCGGACGTAGGTTCGAACCCTCGTCACGGCCCTTGAGGATTTGTTCTTTGTAACACATTTCACCAACTGGTTAACCAGTTCAGCAACCATGAGGGGGCCTTGTCGAGGACCGGGCCGCGGGGACGTTGAGCCCTGAAATCATCGCAAGGTAATGTTGACTTGAAACCTTCATTATTGTATGGAAGCCAAAAACTCTTGCTTCCTTAGCGCCTTTTTCGGCGATGTTTCCATGGAAACATCTGGAAAATTAAACTAGGCAAGGTAGCCTAATGGCGTATTACACATGTATCACATGTAACACATGTATCTTTGTAGAGATACATGTGGTTTTGCCACATGTATTCATTCTTTAATGTTTTGTCTTCTTCCTGTAGGTCTGTATGCAGTACTTCGAAAACGTCTCATCGTTCGTACTGACTTGTAATGTAAATCACACTAATTTTTTATCATAAAACTATTTGTTTCGTAAATGGTCAGCTTAGATCACCCAGGATAAGGATGGGGAGGGGCATATCAATCCTCAGTCCTCAATCCTCATCATAAATGATCACACTACTCAATTAAACTCAAGATGAATAACAAAATATATAATCCTGAACAGGAAAGTTCTTCCACAGCAATGGCTAGCAAATCTCTGCAAACCTTCACGGACAGCCAAATTGTTCACAGTTTGTTCACTGAACCAATTGTTCAGAAGCAGTCGATTCTAGGAAAAGGCGAAGCTGAGGGGCTTTTTTGAGAGGAAGGGAAAGGGGGCCACGAGTTCTTGGGTAGGAGAGGAGAGAAATTGTATTTCACGTGAGGAAATGTAGAGGAAGAGTGAGTGGCGCAGGGAGGAGGTGCAAGGGACCCCAGGCCGGAGTTTCACACATGGGATTTTGAAGTTAGCTTGTCGTGAGGACGGAAGAAGGCGAGGAGAAATCGGTGTAATGTGTCACTCACTCGGTATTTCCTCTCTTCCTCTCTCTCTCTGTCTCTCTCTCTCTCTGTCTCTCTCTGTCTCTCTCTGTCTCTCTCTGTCTCTCTCTGTCTCTCTCTCTCTCTCTCTCTCTCTCTCTCTCTCTGTCTGTCTCTCTCTCTCTCTCTCTCTCTCTCTCTCTCTCTCTCTCTCTCTCTCTCTCTCTCTCTCTCTCTCTCTCTCTCTCTCTCTCTCTCGTACAAACATACGCGTTTCTCATTCTTTTGAAGTGAGTGATTACCTTGAGCAAGCACCTCACTCCTTCAGTCATTACAGTCACATCAACAAAACAAGGCATTCTCTTCTTTCATTCTCTTCTTTCTTTCGTCCTTCGCAAAGGTTACCTTCACAACTGACCAATTTCCCAGCAATCCAGGACAAGCAGGAATTTTGGGCATGTGAATAAATGATTATCTAAAAAAATTAGGGGAATATTTGCATGTGAAAACTGGTTATTATCAGAATTCATGGAAAACTTGTGTTGTAAACTGGTTGGTATTTTGGAATTAAGTACTTCGGTACTTCGGAATTTTTTTTGCATGTGAAAACTGGTTCAAAATTGGTAAAACTCTGCTTCTCGTTTTTTGTTATTCATTTACCTCTGATGTATGGAGGGTTATCACGAAAGCGTGCTCGCAATTTTTCCGATCACTGTGGTTTAATTTGCACATTAGCTCCTATTTATACCCAACAAAACTCCTCTTCGCTACTACGGGATCACCATAGCCCGTGCTACTTGCAACTTTTTGTTCCAGGTAGCGAATCTTAAACACCAACAATAACAATCCTCTTCGCTTGAAACACTCCTGTGATCCCACGTCAGTTGTCTTGCCCTGCAAACTTTGTTCCATAAATTAACAACGCTATTGGTAATTTGTTTGTTAGTGCTGTGTATAGCTTTCGTGGCTCAGTGCTTTCATTTGCCGGTTTCTTACTTTCTGACGTCAACTCTTTTTATGTTGATATATTTAAAATCTCAGTAAAATCAACTTTGCTGTATCCTTTCATCTATTTGCATATTTCAGTTATGTTACTTGTTGCTTTTCTGCCTTGTTACAGAATGAAAAGCTTTCTAAATCTCTCTGCATAAGGGAGGTTAATTAGTCCTGGGTTTAAATCTTTCCAAGTAAATTACGTTCACATTTAACATTAACATTCTAACATTTGGTGATCAAACCTGAAGATTATGATCTAAATGAAGCCTAACCAGGCAAAGCTACACTAACATGAGGGATAAAAATAAGATGACTCGCATCCAGATATGAAATCCATTACCCCATTTTCTGCACGTTTATACATTTATTTGGCTTTGGGTCCCAACTAATCATGACTCTCGGATCTTTTCGTATTCAGATTTTGCAATTTTCACATTGTCCAGCTGATGTCTGGGAACTCCATCTTCATTTTCTGCGCTCTGAGTCCAGGTTTGAGGAGAAATTCTTCATGTGAAGGTTGGTTGGTGTTTGTGCTTGAGGGGAAGGTGCTGGTTGGTGTTTGTGCTTGAGGGGAAGGTGCTGGTTGGTGTTTGTGCTTGAGGGGAAGGTGCTGGTTGGTGTTTGTGCTTGAGGGGAAGGTGCTGGTTGGTGTTTGTGCTTGAGGGGAAGGTGCTGGTTGGTGTTTGTGCTTGAGGGGAAGGTGGTCGTGAAGGCTGGTTGGTGTTTGTGCTTGAGGGGAAGGTGCTGGTTGGTGTTTGTGCTTGAGGGGAAGGTGGTCTTGAAGGCTGGTTGGTGTTTGTGCTTGAGTGGAAGGTGGTCTTGAAGGCTGGATGGTGTTTGTGCTTGAGGGGAAGGTGGTCTTGAAGGCTGGATGGTGTTTGTGCTTGAGGGGAAGGTGGTCTTGAAGGCTGGTTGGTGTTTGTGCTTGAGGGGAAGGTGGTCTTGAAGGCTGGTTGGTGTTTGTGCTTGAGGGGAAGGTGCTGGTTGGTGTTTGTGCTTGAGGGGGAAGGTGCTGGTTGGTGTTTGTGCTTGAGGGGGAAGGTGCTGGTTGGTGTTTGTGCTTGAGGGGAAGGTGCTGGTTGGTGTTTGTGCTTGAGGGGAAGGTGCTGGTTGGTGTTTGTGCTTGAGGGGAAGGTGCTGGTTGGTGTTTGTGCTTGAGGGGAAGGTGGTCTTGAAGGCTGGTTGGTGTTTGTGCTTGAGGGGAAGGTGGTCTTGAAGGCTGGTTGGTGTTTGTGCTTGAGGAGAAGGTGGTCTTGAAGGCTGGTTGGTGTTTGTGCTTGAGGGGAAGGTGGTCCTGAAGGCTGGTTGGTGTTTGTGCTTGAGGGGAAGGTGGTTGTGAAGGCTGGTTGGTGTTTGTGCTTGAGGGGAAGGTGGTCTTGATGGCTGGTTGGTGTTTGTGCTTGAGGGGAAGATTATCGTGAAGGTTGGTTGGTGTTTGTGCTTGAGGGGAAGATTCTCGTGAAGGCTGGTTGGTGTTTGTGCTTGAGGGGAAGATTATCGTGAAGGCTGGTTGGTGTTTGTGCTTGAGGGGAAGGTGGTTTTGAAGGCTGGTTGGTGTTTGTGCTTGAGGGGAAGATTCTCGTGAAGGCTGGTTGGTGTTTGTGCTTTCACGAATAAAGATAATTAATTGCTGATGTACAGCAATTCTTTCGATAGAGCTTGCGAATGTAATGCATAAGACAACGACCGCACGACGACTTAAGGTTCGGGAACAAGGGCGACAAAGATACCATTGAGGAGCAGCACCCTGTAACAACGACATAACCCGATTACTAAATACCCAACGACTGCCGACCGATACTGCCTCGCCTCGTCAGCTGCGTGTGGAGGAAGCCTCACTTTTTTTTTTTTATCTTTATTTACGAAAATACAATATAAATTGCATATACATAAGTTTTACAAGGCAATTATACATTACAATTCTTAGTGAACAAGTGTTTCAGTAGTACAGAACAAGATCTTTAAAAAAAACCTGAATGTTATACTTATTTATCTATAAACGATTTACAAAAATTGGAGAATAAATTTACATTAAAATACAGGGTAAAATATTACATTTATATATATTTTCCGTGTCTGCGTCCGCTGTCTCGTGGCATCTGCTGCTAGTCCGGCATTTATTTCCCCTGGCATATAATCATGTTATTTTTTCCCTACTCCACCGGGTTTATTAGGTGTTTGTGTGTTTATATTCCTTGTGTGTGTATGTTTGTGTGGTGGCATCCAGAGGTGTGTGTGTGTATGTGTTGCTCAGCACGTGGCTACCGGACAAAATATTCTTTCAACAGGTATATACACAGTTTTATACCTGTTTATTAGTTCGTGATTTTATGAATGATATTGCTATTGCTATACTCTCTATCCCACATTACTTCCTTTCCACCCATCTCTTCCTCCCTTCTTTCTCTCTTCCTTAATGTCCCTATTCCTCTCTTATTTCTGCATTCTTCACCTCCACCCCTTGTTTTACTCCTGGTCATACAGGTATTGGCCAATAGGAAAACCCACACCCTCCTCGCTTGAGGCTAAAATATACTCATTCATATAAGCTCATTCAAATACACTCATCCACATAAGCTCATTCACATAAGTTCATTCACATAAGCTCATTCAAATGTACTCATTCATATAAGTCTCTGTGTAACACGGGGGAGATACGCGTCTTGAACACGTGGAAGTCCGCGTGGTCAGTGACATCGGAACAACAGGAAGCAGTCAGGACACAACAACCGCCGTAGTGTCTCCATATATTAAACTCTATTCCTCCCTGATCACTGTTTTCACGGGAGACATCTCCCGTCACGCAGGGTGCAGTCGCACCTCCACAGATCTCCAGTATCAGCTCTTGATACTGTTAATGGCTCAAAAGGGCCACCACTTACGGGCTTTTCATACCCATGCCACCTTTAGGGTGGCTTAATCTTTGTTACGGCCCTACTGGGGCGTAACCGGGTTCTTCTCTGATGTTATTAGAGTTTGGGTATCCGGCCCCAAGTTAGTAGAGGCTTTCAAGAGATGTGTTCCGTAGCGCAAGTTAAATTAAAGGGGGAGGGATACAAATGCTCTGATTTATATATATATTGTCACCACCACCATAAATAAATATATAACGGTCACACGGGGGTTATAAATACACTATAATATACAGAGTTGTCTTCCTCTGAAGACACAGGATGCTCCATGGTGCGCACTTTGAGTAGCCCTGGTTCCTTCCTCCGTGGCCCACGATGAATCCTCTTGGCTTCTCTCGGCGAATCTACCCTGGCCACAGGCCAGCCAAATCACAGTCCCACTGGGTGCTCCGTCGTGGAGGCCTTCAACCACAATCCAGCCTGTAGCTGGCAGGTTCCGATCAGCTCTGCTGTGTAGGCCACTCCACGACCGATACTAGGGTTGCGAGCCCTAGGCAGGAGCCTCGTGTGATCCCGCTGATCACTCTCCTCTCTAAGCACCACAGTGGCTAGTCTCTTCCACCAGCCAGCCCCAGATAAGGCGATTCCTGATACTGCCACGTCACAGGCAGGCTAGCACTCTCGACAGAGTTCGTCCGGGGGTGACTCACAACTTCTTCAGCAGACTCGTAGAGAGACCCTGGCTGCCTTGGGTAGACTGATCCATCGTCCAATACAGCAGTCCCAGGTCGACTCTGTAATCAGACACGTCATTAATACTGGGACTAGGGAACCCCACTTACAGGCTTAGACACAAACGTCCACCTCGCTGCTCCATAGATGGCGATGCTGTCTAAGCGTCACCTCACCAGAGGTCAGCAGCGGCTATGTTATGAGCTGATTAAGATGGGAATCCAGCACCTGTGGCCGGTATATCCCGTCCTCACTAGATGGCGTTGTCTATTTAGAGGGGGTTTCGGGAGCGGACTCACAGATGGCGTTGTCGTCACTGCTCCGTGCTCCGACGCTGGACTCGGGTCCGTAACAATCTTCATCAATCAATCAATCGATCACCGTAATCAGATCCCAGGCGGCTGTGAGACGGCCAGCAGTGCGAACACCTTATTCGCTGTCGTAAGTAGTTGAAGCCAGTATAGCTGTGTTGAGACGAGTATCAGACTAGTATCAGACCGGGTCTGATACTGGTCCTTGCGGAGGGAAACTGTGAGTCTGAATGAGGCTGAATGAGTCTGAATGAAGCTGAATGAGTCTGAATGATGCTGAATGAGGCTGAATGAGTCTGAACGAAGCTGAATGAAGCTGAATGAGTCTGAATGAAGCTGAATGAGTCTGAATGAGGATCGAGCATGTATGATTATAAGCTGAGACATCGTAAGGGGACAAATAAAACTGGTAACAATCAACTTATTTTCCTTTGTGTATATCGTTATTATAAATAATTGTAGATTGCAAATATTGAATGTGCTTATACACTAACAGTAAAATATGTAGGTTGAAGCGTTTACAATATGGGTATTGTAGTAACTTGTAGACAAGTTATATAACGTTATAAGTTATATTGTTGATTGTTGATCATATTGAACTGACTAGACTACTATAGGAGGAGATAATTGTAGTTAGACAGGAGGTGGGAGGAAGTGGAATAGATGGAAGAAGAGAGCTAGTTAGACAGGATGAGGATAGACAGAAAGGAGATAGCAAGAATGAAAGGAGACTATTAGACAGGTATAAGTCCTTGAAATAGACAGAAAGATAATAGCCTGCTGAGGGGCACTTAGGCTACGATAGATGGTGTGTACAACAGCCATCTCCTTCACTTTGCTCTCCTGTACGCTATGTATACAGTCTTCCTTCAATTCCCACTTTCCTTCTCATTTCCTCCCCATATCTTCTTCCTTTGAATTCCATTTCTTCAATCTCATCATTTCTCACCCTCTCTCTTTTCCTATCATTCTCTCTTCCCTCTCTTTCCTAACATGTCTAACGTTTAAAGACTCCTTCCAAGTTCTTTCTCAATCACTATATCTTTATCCTCATTTTACCCTTACTTCCCCCCCCCCCTTACCCCTTTCTTTACACTCCATTTGCCCCCTTATTTAGCCTCCATTTACACCTTATTTAGCACTCCCTCTTCCTCTTAACACCTGAAATGCAAGACCTTTGAATCAGTGCCCAATTAAGTCTGCCTGCCACTCAAGTTCATTTACAGAGTTCATTTCCTCTATCTGTCCTCCTCGAAGGTTGTCAAGTCAGTTGAGAGGAAGGTCTGTTCCACTTGGCCCCAGCCGGTGGGCAGGATTGGTGAGTCGGTGGATTAGAAGGGTGGATTAGAAGGGTGGATTAGAAGGTTGGGTTAGAAGGATGGGGTTATGGCTTAGCAGGGTTCCCAGAGTCTCTATTGGGACTCCATATCACCGGAAGCTGCATCTCGTACCTAATACTCAAGTAGTTACTCCAAGGGCTGAAACCGGGGTAAGGATTAAGATCAGCTGTGCGGCAGAGAATCCAAAGCCAGCTA